CTCTGGTTTATTCAACTCTAATAAAAATTAATACAACTTACTGCTGTAACTTTATCTTTCACAAACTCACACAAAATCAAAACTCTAAATTTATTTGACTTAAAGACTAGAAGATAGTAAACATAACTAAATGTGGTTCAAATGTTTTACAGTGGAGTGCTTGACATTATGATAAATCCAAAGTGGATCTGAATTTCACCGTTTTTCAAGCTTTGTGGGACTTTGACTCACCCTGCATGAGCGATCTTTGACATTTCATTCTTAGAAACCCAGAGTAAATTCAAGTTGTAAAAAAATCTGCAAACTCCAAACCTAATATAACTCATTTTATATTAAAACTTTCTAATCGAATCCTTCAAACTGATTCAAATAAAAAAGCAACATGTTTACTAATTCCATTTATTTCCTGGCTCCATTCACTCTATTATTTTATTCCTGGTTGTTCAACAAAGTATCTTCCTTTTTCTTGATTAAAATTATTTCTGATTTTCTCATAAGTTTAACCTTTTACAGTATTGAATTTTGTTTGTAATGTCATGAATAAACTACATGTTTCCATAAATACAGTTTAAATATGAAATAATTAGTTTAGTGAACTGTAATTCTGTGAATGGTTTTATGTCTTCAGACCATATTGTCTGTATATTTGAATCCATGTTAGACAATCTCTAAACTGTTTTAGAAACATTTTTAAACTTTGTTCAGAGTAAATTCATTTATTGCACCTTGAATAAAATGTATGTTACATGATTAGTTTTTCTATTTATGTGATTGATCCTCTAAGTTCAGCTCAGTGGCTCCATCTAGTGGACAATCAGAGGAGCAGCAGCTTGTTCTGCCAGGATTTAACTGATAATGAAGCAGAGAAGGAGAGCCAATCAGAGCAGCTGATATTAACGATGTCAATATTAATGATTATAGTAAATAGATGAATAACTGAAGTGTTTCCTCCTCAGATGAAGGAAGAAGGTGAGTGAACTGATCTGAACTCGGCAGCTTGGAGCAGAGAGAGGACAAGGAGGACGGAGTCTGTCCCTCTGAATCCACTGAAAAGGAGGACGGAGTCTGTCCCTCTGAATCCACTGAAAAGGACGGAGTCTGTCCCTCTGAATCCACTGAAAAGGAGGACGGAGTCTGTCCCTCTGGATCCTCTGTCAGACGCCAACATGAGGACCAGGTCAAAGTTCAGAGGTCAGATCAGCATCTCTAACTGTCCAGGACCTTCTACATGTCAGAGCTCAATATTAACATCAACAAACCTTCTTTATTCACAGGAAACCAGAACCAGAATCATCATCAACAGAATCAGAGGCAGAATCTGGTTACAGCAGTTTGTCCTTCAGGTCAAAGGATTTGATTATTGATTTTAAATCAGGCCAACTTTCAGCTGTAAGGTGAGCTGATTCTAAATGTTTTTACTGAGTCCACTTTAAATGTTTTATTCAACATGAGTGGGTCTTAAATGAAGCTTATACTTCATTTTAGTATAAACTTAAATTATATTTAAGTTTATACTA